TTGCATCTACAACTATTTAGGTAAACTGAAGTTAAATAAAAATTCAGTTCCTTAGTCGCATTAGCCACATGAAGCTAGTGGCCACCATATTGGTCTGTGCAAATACAGAACATTTCCATCATGACACCAGGTTGGGTAGCACTGATGTGGATTACCCCAAGGATCAAAAAAAAAAAAAAAAAGTGTTAGAGTAATAATAACTACCAGGACGATTTTCTATCTTTACACACAATTTTTCTAAGACAAGGCATTTTTTGTGTACTTCTTGATTTCGTATGCATTCTGAAGATGACATTTTATGTCTTTTAGCATTAGTATAATAGTTTATAGCCATTTGGCAATTCTCGTAGCCATTTTGTAAGTTTGTTCTTTTTATATAAATGAAGGAAACACAACACAGAAAGCCGCCCACAGAACAAGATAAAAGAATAGAAATTTCCATTCTTTTGTTTGCATTCTTCCAAAGGAAGCCTGCAAATCACTGGTCCTTATAAAAGCTTGTTGTCCTAAAACTAGTAAAGATAATAATATGTTGAATCAATTATTATAATAGTCTACTGCTTAGAGGAACCTCAGAAGATTTTGCATATACTCTGTTGATCTAGTTCTTTTTCCTCTAAAACAGGGAAGTAGGTCAGTGCCTGGGTTAAAACTAAGCACTCATCGTTTTTCTGAACATGATTTCATTTTCATCTTGTCTGACACTGAGAATACCACTGCCCACTGGCGTAGTGCTTGCAGACTTGCGGTCTTATTCCGTATGGCATCTGTCTTAGAGGAGCCTTCTAGCTGGCTCCTTGCCAAGGGTACTAGCAGAACTGGCACTCAGGATCTCATTGCAGTTTGTAGGCAAGGTGCCAGCAGAGATGTGTGCGCATGTGTCCGGGGACTACAAGTGGTCACCGGGTTGGGAAACGTCAACCTGGAGAAACCCAACTCACAGAACGTGAAGCGAAGACAGCTGACCGTCACCTCTCACTGCATCCACATTCTCTAGGCACCTTTTGTGTGACATTGGAAAAGTCAGTGTATCTCTGTGACTCTCACTGGGTTCATCTCCAAAACAGATCATGATGCCAATGGGAACCGTTGAAGAGCATTGTATATCGAGTACTTGGCAAAGGTTTCTGGCAAAAAGGAGCCCCTCAATAAATATTATTTGAATTTGGATGTAAATTCTTGGACTGTAAGAGGCACCGTACTGGGTGTTGAGAATGGCTAGGGAGTGAAGAAAAGCAAGCTAGTCTGATTTTCTAAGCCCGAGATGAGGTTCTTGTAAATATGAGATCTTCTCAAGGGTCTTGCTGAGATTTGGGGTGTCTATTCCTGTAATTAATTCTCTTTGAAAAGCACATTGGCTTTCCATAGTTTTGAGCAGGTCCCTCCAAAGGTTTAACTGTTGAACACATAATTTCTGGCTTGCTTAGAAGTGTCAGTGCTACAGCCCCATGAGGATGAAAGAATTCAGTGAGTCTCCACTAAAAAGGAGCATCAGCCAGGGAGAGAGTTGGGAGTCCAGAGCAGGATTCAGTTGGGTGGATGAGAATGGAGTAAACCAAGCTCCTGCAGCACTGTCGGGGTTCATGGCACGTGATTCAGCAGCGCCAGGAGAGTGGTCAGTGGGACAGGACCACCCATTTTGGCAGTGCCAGGAGAGAAGTTGTTGGGACAGAACCACCTATTTTGGCAGCGCCAGGAGAGTGATCAATGGGACAGGACCACCTATTTCGGCAGTGCCAGGAGAGAGGTTGGTGGGACAGGACCACCTATTTCAGCAGCGCCAGGAGAGTGGTTGATGGGACAGGACCACCTATTTTGCTTTCGATCGGGAAGGTGTGGGGGTGGTAATATTTTAACTTGTACAACAAGTGGACATCACTGGATTTACTTAAGGAAGGGATTGTTCTGCCCTTAGAACTTGATGCAAATCTGTGGAAAAGTTACTTCCGAAAGAGCAGGTAGTCTGGCAAGGATGTAGAGAGAGATGAGAGGTGCTCATGGGTGGCTCTGTAGGACTGGAGAAGAAGGGAATCTGCAGAGATGGAGACACACTATGTGACTGAGTAAATGTGGGTTTCAAAGTAGCCTAAAGACGGCGGGGGCGGGGGTTGAAAAAAATATAAAGTACCTATCACAATATTTGCTATGTAAGTGATGACTAAAATACACATATTATTATTATTTAGGATAGGAATTGTGTTTGAGTCTATACTATAAAAATTTTTTAATTGAAAAGTAGATTTTTGATGGTCATGCATTTCAGATGCTTCACAGATGCAAAGAAGAAATTAACAGTAGGAAACGCTGACAGTGACAGAGCCCCTTATTTTGTGCCGTGTCTTGTGTTAAGCACACGAGTCTAAGAGGTGGAGTCCGCTATCCCCGTTTAAGTGATGAAGAGTCTGAAGCCCAAAGTAGCACATTTAGGAGGGGGTGCTGCCAGAACTCAGGGCCCCTGTGCCACACTGCCTCTAGATGAGAGGTCTCCAGGCATCAGTGAAGCATGGCTCATGGGAGGAAAGACATATGTACACTAGTCACATACAGGCCAGAGGCATGAGGCATTGGCTGGCTCCTCTATTTCCCTTACTTGATGCATCTTGGTGAGTTTATATTTTTCAAGAAAGAATAAATGGCCTCTTATTTGCAGAAGCATTGAAGACTGCTTGCTCTAGAATTCTGAGTTCAGACACTAGAACTAGTACAATGCCACTCCGTTCTCCATTGTGTTACCTTCTGCGCTCCGCAGATGAGGCGCAGCAGCCCAATTTTTTCAGCTTCTCTTTTCTGTTAGCCGAGACCCGTGGCAATACTTTCCTCTTTTCATTCTAGCTGGTTGTCAACAGCGGTAACCACAAGTCTTTCCTGTCCCAGAAATAAGTCTTGCCACACTCTCAACCCCCGACAGGGTGTGAACATGACATGCCGTACTGCAAGGGGCTCCTCCGCCTCCGCCCCACCGCAGCCACAGACCCACAGGGTTCAAGTGTTGATTGAATTCTCAAAGAGCGATTTAAAAAGGATAGGTGCACAAGAACTAGATAAACAATCTAGCTCTAACATAAACAAGCATTACATTACACCAAAATTGTTGAGAGAAGATTTTGTACTCAATATTTTATTCAGCAGAACATTTTTTGTAACAATAAGGTTGATTAGAGCAAGCTCTGAAAGTGCTTCAAGTTAGACAGTCTGATTGTTTATTTCAAGGATAAAAAATAAAGTGGTAAAATAGGGGGATGTGAAGAAGTAGAAATTGAAGCCAGGACCTAGCGAAGAGTATTTGACATCACTTTGCTCTCCAGGTTCAATCTCATTCAGGATTTTTCCTTACCATAGGGTTTTGGCTTTTTAGCCATGAGTATCTTGTTTTTAGAGGCTTAGGACCATCCTAGACCCACAGCAGATTTAAAGTGCTCTGATGGTGTATTTGTCTGATGGTTCATTTTAACCAAGTAAGTAGCTCTCTGTAAGATCTTTGTCTACCTTCTTAGTAGTACCAGGAAGCTACGGTGAAATCATGTCTGGCCCTTGCAGTTTAGTATTAGTTAGCATGTCCCCTTTCTGACCTCTCTGCTTCTTGGGGTGGGGGTACTCATGGAGGAGGCTCTGTAGGGGCAGCGTCTGCCTGCTTTGTTACGGCGCCTTCTATTTTCACAGGCTGAGAAGCTGGAGCAAGTGCGCAGTGCTGCAAATGAGTGCTGCCGAGAGGCATTCAGCCTTGTCACTTGGCAGAGTAGCTGGGTTCGGGGTATATTTGGGGCGGGGGTGGGGAGCACAAAAAGGGTATGTGGTTTTGCTTTACTATTTATTCCTGCTCAAAGGGGGTGGGGGCAAGTAAAAAAAAGACATGTCTTCATCATTGTATTACTCGATGGTGACTAGACGTGCAGGCTGTATACAGCATTCTCTTCCAAATGGGGATTTGGGAAACAGCGTTGAGGAGGACTGATATGCAAAAGCTTATGGTTGTGCTCTCTGTCAGCCCCAAATATTTACTGAAGCTGGGAGAAGAAAAGGCAGACTTTCTTTTTTTCTCTCCCAAACGTGTGATTGTTTAGAACTCAAGTGCAACATCTGGAAGTCAGATATACAGAGAACAATTTATGGAGTGTGAGAGATTTGAAATATTCAGTGTCTTTTAGTGGGAACTCAACTTTCTGGGGCTGCTTTTTTTTTTTTTTTTAAGCCAGCACAAAGCAGGCAATTCTGAGATCTCCTTTGCCTCTCTGAATTAAACCCTTTGTGCCTGGGTCCCATAAACAATGTGCTTTTTAAAGGGGAGCCCCCTCCCAGCTCCGGCCTTTTTCTCCGGCGTGGGCAGCCAATCAGCTGCGCGGAGCTGCATAGCTGGACCGCTTTCCATTCTGAGTAGCAACAACGTACTAATTTGATGCACACATGGATGCCTCGCGCACTCTGCAAATTCATCACCCGCATCTTGCATTAGTCATCTGACGGACTGCCAAGTGTTTCATTTTCTTTCCATGTGACTTTATTATTACCACCTCTCTCCTCTCTTCCAAAAACCTCCCAAAAAGGGCGGCGGGGTGGGGGGCGGGGCAGGGAGAGGGCGAGAAATCCAGCAGACATCTAGCTCTGCTTTCTTTCCCAGCCACAGACAGGGTAGGGCTGATAATGCACTGATGCGTTGATGGCAGCCTTGCAGAGCTAGACCTACATTTAACTTGCAGCTGCCTCCCGAGCCTCCAAGATGTCCACGCCCTGGGTGACAGGCGGCGGGGCGCTGCCCTGTGCTCCCCCGGCTCTGCTCGACAGCAGCACGCAGTGAGAGCCTCGCCGCCGCCGAGGAGCAACTCATGGTGCCTCTGCTTTGTTTTAGTTCATCAAATTTCTACGACTCATTAGGCACTTTGCCACTGCTCTTCTTCCTCCTCCTTCCGCCTCCCCGCCCCCCCGCCCCCCAACCCCCACTATTTTTTTCTTCCTGTCCCTCATCGTGCCGCCCTAACTCTAGCTCCCGGTTCCGTTTTTGACAGTAACGGCACAGCCAACAAGATGAACGGAGCTTTGGATCACTCAGACCAACCAGACCCAGATGCCATTAAGATGTTTGTCGGACAGATCCCCCGGTCGTGGTCGGAAAAGGAGCTGAAAGAACTTTTTGAGCCTTACGGAGCCGTCTACCAGATCAACGTCCTCCGGGATCGGAGTCAGAACCCTCCGCAGAGTAAAGGTACAGAGCGCGGGGCGGGGGTCGCCAGGCGTCCAGGTGGGCGTCGCGGGGCGCTGGGGCAGCCCGAGCTCCCAGCCTGCTGGAGGGCGGGCGGGCAGGCAGGAGGGCTGGAAGCAGCCGGTGCTGGCGGCCTCTGTGCTCCAGGGGCTGCTCCCGGCTCCTCCCCGCACCCCCGCCCGCCCGCCCGCCCGCTGGGACAGGTTGGAGGCGGGAGGGAGGGACCGAGGCAGGGCGGGAGCGCAGAGGCTCGGTCCAGGCGCGTGATCGCTCCCGGGAGGTCACTTTCTAGGCAGCGCAGCCTCTGCTTGGGCGGGGTGGCTGCTTCTCCGAGGAATCGCGTTTCTCAGCCTTGTATTTCAGGACCTAACTCTTCCCACCCTTACGTGCCCAGGATTGCCCATGTCATTACAATTGCATTTCGCTTTTCCATAGCCTGTGGGGACCTCGAAGTACCTTATACACAGTTAATGATGCCACTGGTGCGAGGGAGAAAAGGCTCCCTTGAAGGAGGGACACCCATTCCTGGGGGTCAGGTGGGGACCATGAGGTAAATCTGCCTTTTGGAGCTGGGAGCAGCACCCTAGCGGCCTGACATAGTTAGGACACCTTCACAAATGCTTAGGGTTACACCCTTATCAGTGTTGAGATGAAGGCGTAGGATCTGGTGGTTGTGAACTGCCTCCATTTTAAGATGACGGTGATGGGGGGCAGTGGGTGCCGTTAATGAAATAAGAGACCCAGAAACCATTGTGAGGGGTGGTGCTCCTGTGCCCTGGAGTCTTACTTTGTAAGCTCTCCGCAGACCGAATTTAATATATCTACTCTCCTGCTGCCACTTGGTCTCTGTTGCTGTTTTAACCTTCTTGCTTTAGTAAATTTTTTTCTTTCTCTGTTCTTGATCTCTCAGTCTCTCTGCTGAGGAGTCCTCTGTTGTTCTGTGGGCCTCACAGTTTCTTTTGCTCTGTGCCTTGGTGTTTCTGTCTGGCATGTTATTTTATTTCTATGTTGCTTCTCCTAAGACCTCTGAAAGCATCACTTGGCTTATATATACACTTTGGTTGGGTACATGAACATTGGCACATACTTTTTTCTCTAAGCCTTTTCCTTACTGGCAAGGTGAAAGGATAGAACTAGGAAATCTTTAAGACTGACATTCTGTGACTCCGAGAAATGCTGGGCTGCTCCTCTTGTTCCCTGTCGTTGCCAGGGTCTGGCAGGACTTTGGAAGCCTCTTAAGGAACTGAGGAGCCCCTGGCCAGTACTCCTTTTAGGAAGGTGGACATGCATGTCTTCAGAGTGTGTTTGTAACACTCTAGTTTTCCAAACATAGTAGCAAGGTTGTTACAAAAAGCACATAGAATGTTGTCACCACAGACTTGATTGTCCCATTATTTGAAACATAGAAAAATCAGATAACTGAAAATCTGCAGATTTTTAAACTTCACAAATGAGAGCAATATTAAATACCTTTATTGGACATATTCTCATACTGGTTACCTACATGTTTGCCAAATGGAGATGACTAGAGTTTGTTTTAATGCTTCCATGGTATGCTATTGAGGAAAGACAATAGACTAGAGCTAAGAAAAATTAATAAATTTAAAAATAACCAAATAAGGGCTCTCTCACCAGCCAGAATGTCACCCAGGGAAAACTAGACCAGAGGCAGTAAACTATGCTTTAGAGAAATAACCACAATTTATCCTTGACCAGGAAAATGTGACTCCAAATGTTGGTTTATCAGCATTTTTTAAAATTACGTTTGACAGAGTGTCAGAGCTCACTTACTGTTATGGTGCCTGCTTCCGGGACTTTCGGCCATGGAATACATGTATCTTACCTTGGCCAAAAAGGCCTTTTTCCCAGTCAGGTACATACCTGTGTGTGGCCTAGTTATTCTCCTATTGTCTCTCTCTTGCCCAGATGTTCCTATGAGCAGCAGTTTCTACCTGCCTATATCTGAGACTATACATTTTGTTGACTTCTATTCACTGTATCTGATTACTAATTTGGCGAAAATAGTTTACAGAAGCCCACGGTCTGCAGAAGGAGAAGGGAGGCCCGATGAGGGAAGTTTTTTTGAGTACATGCCGTGTATCTCAGACCCTTTGTCAGGAGCTTTACATGTGTTCTCATTTTGTCGTTACCAAAATCCAGAAGGTAGGTGGTGGTAGTCACATTTTACAGATGAGGAAACTGAGGCTCATAAGAAGTTAAGAAACACAGCCCCGTTTGCCCAGCTGTGAAGTGACAGAGTGGAGATTTGGACACGGTCCTTCTGTCTTCATGGACTACACCATTTTGTGTCTCCATGAGGTGACACTGCAGAGCAGCTGTGTTGTGCTGTGTTGCAGGGCTGGGTCAGGGGCAGTCTCCTTTACTTAAGTGTTCCCCAAGTGAAAGGAAGAAATTTCAGTCTTTAAGAATGAGTTGATTTCATTTGTGTCTTTGTGTTTAGTTTTTATACTCAGGGGTTTAGATGGTACATCAGTCCCACCTCATGATATCATGGGGTAGGAGTTAGAGATGAAATCATTCAAATCTTACCTTTGGAAATACAGGTCAATTCCCATTACTGTGAACTCCAAGTCTCACATCAAATATTGCTTAAAGTATGTGGGCTGTCAGCCAAAGCTTGAAAGAGCTTTTGTTATACAGACATCTCTGTTGTCAAGGTATTTGTCGTGATGGGATTTGAGCTGTATAATGACATTGCTCTCGGAGGATTACAGCCCTTAGCCGCTTACCTAGAGAGAGCGACAGCCCCCACTTTCTTCTTGTTGATATGTATGCATGCCATTATTATTTTGCCTGTTTACATGTAAAATAAGACCTCACATTTACTTTGATTCAGACTTTGTCAGCAGAGTACAATTATCATGTTTTCACAGGGCTGATGTCAGAGTCTCAAAAACTAGAATTACTGGAGGTGGTTTGGGTTATGTGAGTGAGGCTTTTGGAGGGACCTTGATTCATGGCCTTTCCCATGTTGATGGTCCCAGGCAAAGAGACAGTCAGTCTGTTACCTAATCCTGGTGAATTAGATTTTCCCCCTCACTTTCAATTTCACTTCTGTTTGGTTGTGAGGCACAAAAACTTGGTCATACTTGTGAAATCATCCTTTCAGGGTTCAAGCCTGAGATACCTATATTCTCACTGTAGGGGCATGTATTGACCAAGCAGGCTAAGTAACTCTGGGGACTCTGGCTCAGTAAACTCTCTCCCCCTTGAGGACTTTGGAAGAGTGTGTTTTATTCAGGGTTCATCTGTTTTGTCTATAGATCGTGAGCAATACCACAGAGAGTTAAGAACATGGCTTCTGAAATTGGAGAACCCTAAATTTAATTTCTGGCTCTGCTGCTTCCTTGCTACGGGCCTTGGGCATGTTACTTAATCACATCTTACAGTGGAGGCGGTCCTTGTAATGTTGCTGTGTGATCAGGTGATGTGCTCTCCACAGTGCTAGGATACAATAGGAGCTGGTTAGGGCGGTCATGATGATCATAGTTGTTGTTAACTTCATCAATGTGTCTAAGAAAAAAACTCGTAACAGGGACAAGAAGGCATGTCCACAGGTAACTCTCATATGAAAGAACATGAGCTAAGAGTAAATGAGTAAGAAAGAGATGGGCTTACTGGAGCCATGGAAATTGAGCAAAGAAATGAATAATTCGCAGCTTATGGGAGAAGAAAAAGATGGCATCTTTACCAAATCTTGAAAACAATAGTAGGATTTCAGTAAGTAGTCATGATGAACATTACAAATGGATGGACTGGCCTGCTTCAGGCATGCAGGTGCGGAAGTGCAGGGCAAATTCTGGGAACTGTGAATTCTCCCACAGTTCAGAGGAAATGGGAAATACATGACATGAAATAGAGGAAGGGAAGGTCACGAAGCCTAGAGCTATAGGCTAGAGCAACTCTTAGCAGGCCTTCATTCCCAGGCTGAAGGATTTAAAATTCCCTTGTTAGACTATCAAGGCTCTAGGAATATTTTCACAATAAGAGGCTCAGAGGCTGGTGCAGTGTGTTGACTTGGGTTGAGGTCAGGATGTCTTCTGTCATGGGAATGGAAGGGGAGTCTGAGGGACAGATGTGACAGTGGAAGGAAGAGGACTTGATAACTAAATTGGGTCAGTGATGACCAGGAGGCTTTGGCTTAACTGGGAGAATTGGGAGCACAGTCATCAGTGGTGGGAATGGAGGAGAGGAGCATTACGTTCAGTTTTGATTGAGTTGAGTCTGCAGTGTCACAGAAGAGTCAAGGATGCAGCGCTAGAAAAGCCATGGGATTTGGTGACTGGGAGGACCCGAGAGCACTTCAGAAGAAGGGTAGAGGTTGTGGGGAAAGGAAATGCATGGATATATGTGTGGGTTGTGAGTGTAGATGTGCCTTTCTAGTAGTCTGGCGTGAAGGGAGAGGAAGCTTAGACATGCAGTTGGTTTGTTCAGCAAATGATAAGTTGTACGGCAAAGGAGATTGTGAAAATGTGAAGTAGCCATGACTCTGCCTCAGGCCTGTGAAAGGGTGGGAAGATACTTCATTTGAGACAGAGGGGCATTCAGGAGGAAGTAACAACACAAAGTTTCAGAAGTAGGAGACACTTCATACAGGCACCTGCCCTCAGTCTTCTCAGTAAATCGGAAATTTCTTAAGTCTCAGTGAATTAAAGACTTAAAAGGAATGGAAAAGGTTGAAAATGACTGCTTTGGGAAATTGGGTGGAGAGTGGTAGAACTGTTGAAGAACAGGGAGAGGCCGGTCACACTTAGATCATGTCCATCTGGAGTGGGCCCTGATGGTTGTGGTTCTGGGACTGTTTATACCTGAGTGAGGAAAGAAACAGAGTCATAGAGAACCGGGAGTTGGAGGTGATCAATGCAGACATCATAGAAGGCCAGGAAGGGTAGCAGATGTGCTAGAATGTTCTCTCGAAGGTCTGAAGTAGAGAAGCTGGTAATGCTGAAAGACAGCTTCTGGTCCAGGAGGAGGAGGAGGAG